CAGGGACAGGAGAAATTTTGCCAAGCCCAACAGAGCAAATCCCTCCACTTATTTAAAACAAACACATGCACCACACCATGGGAACTGTACATGCCACAAAAACTTGATTACAGCCTTATTTATAAGGTTTTGAGGAAAAAACACCTCTTATACAGCAAAAACTGCATTTTACTTAGACTTTCATCCTTCTGTGGTAAATTGAGTCAACCCTTCCTAGGTTCCAGTGCATCATAGCTCTCGTGATACTCACAACACTAAGCCATCACCTCCCGCAAAAGGCTACTTGGAAAGACTATCAGGATGCAGTAATAGGGAAAAGGAAAGAGAGCTCAAATGAATAGGAAAGTTTAAGGGGGGATCGATAAGGCAGGCAGTCTCTTTGCTCCTGGGCTTGTTTCCTCGGCTGCAGTGATTTGGAACAGGTGAACTCAGTCACTGTGGGAGACACCCTGTACTGACGCCTTTGGCTAGTTGGGTTGTAGCATTCAGAGGCCCTGAAGGATGCTGTGTTCAGCCCTCTTCATCCCATCAGACATGAGGCCTGGAGGTACCAAGTTTCAGTATAACACAGATGGACAGTTTCTCTTTGGGTAATGGATGCAGAGGAGGTTGATATGAGTATGGAAATTGGATTGCTAGCCTTTCTGTGTGGAGAGGAAAGGGGACAAGGTACCCTTAAGAGTGCAGCATTTTAGAGGAATAGATGCTGTGGCAGATCAAAGTCTGTAACTGAGCCAATAAATTGACAACTGATTTTTATTATCATGTTAGTGCCGTCTCAAAATAACACCCACTCAACTAGGAAAGTGATTTTATTTTCATAAATATTATGGTATATTTGGTGCTCAAGGTAGATTAATTTTGAGATTATAGAAGGAAATATATGCTTTTATTTTTAAGATCAGAAGTGCTGGGCCTGACCCTATGCAGTGCTCGGTACTCCAGTTCTCATTGGCTTCAACGCAATTGAGGGTGATCAGCACCTGCCAGGGTTGCTCCGTCCCTGGCAGAATTGAAAAAGAAAACAGAACAGAGCTTCACTGAAAGGATTTTCTTAGATCACGTTGTGCCTTTTGTTCCGTCTTGCTGCCAGTAAAAATATCCATGTTTGGGAACAGAGACAGGTTCCCAGGCTGAGACAAAGAATTCTGGGTGTGCAGCTGAGGCAACAATCCCTCTCTCTGGCAGGAGGCTGGTCACGTCGCAGTACTGCTATGTCTAGATCACCTGACACTTGCCTTCCAGTATATGCTCTTATTGTTTCCTTGACTAAACTGTTAAGCCTTGTTTATCATCTCCACTAGTGCTAATAAAACAGGCCCTAGTGTAGACAGCCCTACTGCTCTAGCTGTTGTTTTTAGCTCCATGACAGTTAGACATGCTCTGAGCTTGTTTACTAGTGTAAACAGTCTGCAAATATCTTCTGAACCCAGGGCTGTCTATATCTGGGCTCCTACTGTCGCTATACAGCAGCACAATGAACTGCAACTAGCATGGATAATATGTACTTAACCTATGCACTGGGACGTTGTGGGGCTTAGTTTGTTAGTAAAGGCCAAACTTTCCAAAAGTGGACTTCAATTTTGGGTGCTCAGACTGAGATGCCTTAGGCCAGATTTTTGGAAATGCTGAGCACCCACACCTATAAATGAAGACTATAGGAGCTGCAGAACTTCTGAAAATTAGGCCCAAGGCATCCCAAGCTGGGCACCCAAAAACTGAGCACCCAGCATCAGAAGCCACTATTGAAAACTTTGGGAAAGTGTTTTTATATCTTAATATAAAAGGAGCAGAGTCAACACTCAGTCCAGGGACTTAGCCTGTCTTTCTTCTAAACAAACCACTGGAAAGTACTTCACAAGGCAGCATGTTGAAAAGTCGACTCCTGTACTCCACTGCCACGAGAAGTGGCAGCAGTCAACTCACCACGGTGAAGACACCACGGTAAGTCGATCTAAGTACGTCGATTTCAGCTATGTTATTCACGTAGCTGAAGTTGCGTAACTTAGATTGATTCCCCCCCAGTGTAGACCAGGCCTAAGAGCAGCAGCCTAGATCTGCGTATATTTTTCCCCTACAGAGAATGTTGGCGATATCTGAAAGAAGGTAGGAGAAACTGGCACAAAAAGGTGCATTCAGAGTCAGTTTAGAGTAGGACTATACTGTTTCAGATCCAAAACAGTGAAGCCAGTGCTGTTCTTACCTGTCTGATAGGAGGAGCCTCCACTGTCTCCCTCCCCACCTGTTCTGTGTCAGATTTCCTTTGGTTTTACTGCTGTCAGTTGGCCAATCTAGCTGCAGAAGAGTCAGCTGGAGTCCATTCTCTCCTGTGCATCATCAGCAAAACTGCCAGCTAAGTTCTGATTCCAATATCTTTATTGCTGCTTATGGGGTTCAAATCAGAAAATCCGAGCACAGCTTGAATTTCATACACCAGGCTGAGCTCAGTGCTATACAGTGAGAAAAACTTAGTAACTGTTAAAGTGGGAAAATCTGCTGTGGAAGCCAATTGACAGTGAATAAATATAGACCCCACTAAGAGGTCATTTTCCCTGACCATAACATCATGTTAAAAACAGAGCTCATAATATCATACTACTACTTTTGGCAGAGAGACAGAGCATTAAAAATGGGAAAATTTCACATGAAAATGTGACTTTTTCTGTCCAATTTTGAATTCAAAACTTTGACCAGGTTTACAAAAATACATGTTTAAAATTAATATTCCTTTTTAAAAGATCCCCAAAACAGTGGAAAGTATGGAATACGCAGTTAATCTCACCCTAACAACCTTCATTCTGATCTGTACTGCTAACTTCCTATCCTTTCATATCATCTTTGTAAGATGAGGTCCTTTTTGAACAAGGGCTTTTCTGAATGGATTTTTGAGTAAATGTTAACTTCCTTAACACTTTAATAAATCTGCAGCATATGGTAACAGCCAACTTACACTTGGAAAAGCTGCTATACTTTTACAGTCTCTGTGTTGAGAGCAACTATTTATTACAAAGGACTGGGGTTTGAGTATTGTTTTTCATGTCTCCAGTGTGCTCCTCTGTCACCACACTAATCTTTACAAGCCCTTAATTTAAAGGACCTTGGAGATTTGGGTTTAGGAAATTTTAATTCCTAGATATGCTAGTTTTTGGTTCAAATAACATTCTTATAATCTGGTGACATGCATACTTTTCAGGAATAACTGTTCTTGATAATTGATTCAGAAAATGGTAAAATCTGCAGTTTTTCTGTACACTACAGATACAAAAAGGGCAGAAATCCTGTGTCAGTAAATTACATATAAATAATTTATACATTTAATGAGGCCTTGGGCCTCAATTTTGTGAGTGGAGCTTTGAACCTGCATGGAACCCTACTGAAGTTATTGGATGTCACAATCACAGGAAGGTTAACAATGAGGTGTTCCAGAAAAATGAATTCTTACTTCATGGGGTCATTGCTTAAATTATCCCAAGTTTCAATTTCAAGGGATAATGCTACCTCTACACTTCTGGTCATTCTGAAAGCAGTGACAGGGGGCCATGTTATAGTTATCTGGGTAATCTTAACTGCAATGCCATGCTTTTTTTGTGCTTTGTCTAGACTGGGGAAATTTACCCCCCCTCCCCCCAAATCCCCCTGGTTCTCCTGACTCAGTGAGAATGGATTTGTTAATTTCCCTTGTATAGACACATCCTTAACATGTGTGTTCAGGACTCCTAGTTTGATTTCAAGGCATTGCAGAGCTTTGGTAGTTTACCTAAAGAGTGAGGTTCTTTCAAATCATTTTTTAAAAGATTACAATTGAGTCTGCTCAATCTAAACAGGTGCTCAGATCACTATTAGCAAGGTGCTTGGCCCTGTATTACCCACGATGAATACCACAATCACACTTCTCTCTGACTTTCCATGCCACGCACATCAGGTAGATTCCTTCCCTGGGGCATTCCTTACATTTTAAAAATGTTTGGAAGTCACTCTGTGCCTGGGAAGTATTTAAAAAGAAATAAAGCTTTCTGACTGGGGACTTTGCTGGGCACAAACAGAGAAGGGCTTGATACTCACTACTGAAGCACTACAGCACATTTTCTACTGTTTTCCATCCTCCCATTTGCTTCCATTGTGTCTATCATCTATTCCTTTTCTCCCCATCTCACTCCAACTCTCCCTTCTTCTCTGTCCTAGCCCCAGCTCCCCCATCGTCCACCCCAGCTCCCCCTTCCTCTCCATGATAGCCCCAGCTCCCCCATCGTCCACCCCAGCTCCCTCTTCCCCTCTATC